TTCCGGGGGCTGCGCCTATCGCCAAGGCACCTTATCGCCTTGCACCTCCAGAGATACAGGAGTTATCCTCGCAGCTTTAGGAGCTGCTAGGGAAGGGGTTTATTCGGCCGAGCAGTTCGCCAATTCACAAAAACCCCAAAAATGATGAAGAAGAAGAGCCCTGAACTACTAAAATGAGAGATCTACATCATTAAATGGGAAAAAGTCGAATTCAATACCTCTAACTGAAGCTTGAGCATGAAAACCAGCAGATCCAACACCCTTCTTTGATCCTCTAGCTTGAAACCCACTTCTTCCTTGCAAAAACACCCACCAAAAGCTCACAATAGCTCCCTCTCTCACTCTAAGAACTCAAGGCTCGATTAGGGTTTTGTCTCCTAAAGGGTAGTCGCAATAGGAGGCCTTAAGTGCCTTTAAATAGGCCACATGCCTGGAAAATTTAGGTTTCCTTCAGCAGCGCTGACTTGGTGAGTTGGCTAATGGACTCGCCGAGTCCACTCATTAATCCACGTCGCTAGCCGAGACTCTACTCGACGAGTTGGGGCAGCAACTCATCGAGCCACTCCACTTATCTCAAAAATAAATACTTAAAATATATACCTGAAAATCCAGATGTTACAGGATGACAGAGAGGTATTCAGTGTAGAAAGTGTGGAAGCACTCATATACGAGTCTATCACACTTTGATATGCTACAAGTGCGGAAAGGAAGGACATTACAACCGAGACGGTAATCAAAAGGCACAAGGAGTGTGCATTTTTTTACACTGCAATCAGATGGGCCACATCAAGGCCAAATGTCCTCTTCTAAACCCAACAGACTCAATACAAGCTCCAACACCTAAAACATCGAGGATAACTGGCAGATTACAAGGTGGAGTTGAAGCCCCAAGAGCCAAAGGGCGAGCGTTTCAACTCATAGCAAAAGAAGAAAGGGAAGCAATGGAGAATGTAGTTGGTTGTTCTACTGACCGAGGGAAGGCGCATATAGAGTAAATTAGTTTTAGGCTTCCACTAGAACCCTGTGTTAGGTTCGATAAATGTGTTACAACAATATTATAATAAAAGACGGCATGTGTACTAGTATTAAGATAATGTATGCGATAGTGTATTTCCACGACATGAGCTGATCCGATATTTAAGAAAGACACTTATGAATAATACAAGTAATAAGTAGTACGATAGGACTATTAAGGTCATTGGATATGAAAAACATGATTTTCTTCAAAGTAAAAAAATGCATAGACAAAGCCAACTTAGGATTGGATCAATGACAAGTAGTAGTAGATAACTGGTCGAACCCAAATGGGGGACAACCGTCCCTTAAGGTAGAAGTATGAGGAGCAGTTCAACTTTCGGTCGATGTCATGGTCCGGGAAAGATTGCATCACAAGTCAGATCAACTGTTAGGTTTAATATTGTGGTGTGTCAAATGTTCTGAAATGGCCCGATCCATGTTCAGAACCGCTGTGTAGTTTAGTCACTCTCTCTCTCTCTCTCTCTCTCGCTCTCTCTCTCTCTCTATATATATATATATATATATATATATATATATATATATATATATATAGTTTGCATGTAACGTTTATGGTTTGTTTTGAAGCTCTAACACAAAAGTTTCGTCTTCAAGAACTCTTCTGTAGTTGTGAATAATACAATCATTCAACAACTTTTTGCTCATTATTGTTACTAGTCTTTATTTCATCTCATAAATGTAGAATCTATCGATTATTATTATTTTCACAATTGGTATCAGAGTAGGCGATAGTGTAATCAATTTGTTATTCTTTTGTTGAGTAAATGGTTTTGCATTAGGGTTTTACGATTTACTCAAATCTATTCTTGTTGTGTAACAATTGGTCAAAATTGGTAATAGTTCGGTGGTCAAACCACCGCGAACCGCTATGTATTAATAATCAATTGTTGTAATTTTATGTATACAATGTATATTAAATATATTATCTTTATAATTGATTTTAGAACATCTCAAACTGCTTAAAACGTCTATCGTTGAAGATTGAATAAAAAACCAACAAAAATTAAGTCTATGTGTGGCGTTAAAAATAATTTTTTTGCATTCAATATATTTGAGAGTTATGGATAAGATATTTGAGTAGATTATATCCTGCTAACTTCGTTGATATAAAGAATATCCAAAGCGAATGTCATATGAAAAAGTTAGGCCTCTTTAAAGTTACAAAAATCAATATTTATCTGATTTTTTTCCTGAAACATACCATGAACTGCTTCGTTTGGGATAGCTACAAGGCTCGTCAATTATATCTTAACACGTTTTTGAATTCAGACTATGATCTATTATTTATTATAATTTTATAATATTTTCAACCTCGACCAAAATCAAATTCGAAAAATCTGTTGAATCTGATTCTATTAATCGTGAAACTTTAAATACTAATTCACAGAGTTTGGTATATTGGAATCAAATTCCATCTGCATTTCTGAAATTACAACAACCAGGACAATAGGACATTCAACAGACGATTTCATAAAAATATTATGGAGTGGGGATCGTTGGCTTGAGAACCGAAATCAGAGATGGCATCATAAAATAAATAGAAAAATAAAATACATCATTTGATTTTACATCAAATCTCTCTTAAAAATCTAATCTTTGTCCAACAAATCAATTAAAATCCGATAAAATTAGTTTTTATGTTTATTTATATTTCTTTACACTCATACATTTCCCCCATCCAGTTCACAATTGACCCACCCAAAAACCCCTTCGTTGTAGAGTTTTTTTTTATGGGGTTGTTAACCTGTGTGTATAAAAACGGCTGTTTCATATCCATTTGTAAAAATAAGGTTGTGGCCACTTAAACTATCCTTATAATTATTTTGATTACATAAATTAGAATTTTCAGTTTTATATTATTAAAATGTTCAATTACACATTTTCAGTTTGTTATTATTGAGAATTTGGACAACTTTTTCGATTATGACCTAGTTGGTGGCATATGCAAAATCTATGATGTTCGCAGGATGATGTTTGTCCACATCGTTATATATTCGGTTTGTACGCGTCATACCGTGAGCAACAAATTTTTTTGAGTAATCCGCTTCAATTACCCAATTTGAATCCAACTAATAATCAACATGAGGAAGTAGTGCAAAACTAACATTATATTGTAGTTTACAGGTAGAGCTAGTGTACACATCTAAGGCTTTTCTCCTACCATACCATGCATTATCATAAGAAACATCAACATGCAAAGTAGTTTTAATATCTGCTAATATATGTTTCACCAAATAAGCAAAAATGAATATAAGCAAAAATGAATATAAGAGAATTTAACTACAAATCATAGGACAAATGACATAAATTAGTATCTTAAATTTAATGTTGACATCATTTATATATGCAATATATATACACACACATATTATGTTTGAGATAGAAAAAGAACAAATGATAGAAAAATGAGAGGAGTATGGAAACTGAGGATGCAAATATAAGGAACGAAGAAGTTGTAGGACTGATAAGTAAATTCAATTCGATGATCAGAATTAATAGCATCAAAAAGTAAAATGTACTCGATTATAAATAAATACATATCATATGTTTGAGATAGAAAAAGAACTAATGATACAAAGATAAGAAAAGTATGGAAACTGATGATGCAAATATAAGGAACGAAGAAGCTATAGGACTGATGGGAAAATTCAATTCGAACATTGGAATTAATAGTATGAAAAAGTAAAATGTAAGTGATTATACAGTACAGAGATGTCAATTCATCAACAATAGAATACCAAATGTACATTGATATTTTTGGATTCTTCAACTCTTTGGAATTGTTTTTACATATATTATTATTGATTGGACAATTCATATATAAAATTTGTATATTTATTTATTTTATGTCTACTTCTAATAATATCCGTATAATTATGTAATATATTTAATTTTAATAATATTTAATATTTTTATTGACCGAAGGTAAACAAAAATATTTAAATGGTATAAATTATTAAGATCTATATATAAAATTTAATAGCATATTTATAATAAAAATTATTATTTATAAATCAAAATGGCAAAATGCAAATATAAAAGACAAATATATAATATAAAAGACAAATATATAATTGAACATGGTATCTGTTGCTTGTTCCTTCGTGTTTGTTACCTGTAACGAGACCGAAGGTGAAGATGCGATTCCGATCACTAAGAAGACTAAGGGGCTGTTTGTTTTTTGTGTGAAGATCTGCGCAACCACTTTTGTCTGCGCCGCGCAGACAATGCGCAGACATATGCCCTCGCAGATTGTTTGTTTTTTGGAAGTGCGCAGATCAGAAAACGTCTGCGCGAGGTCTTCCTGGCGCAGACATCGGCCACTGTCTTCAAAGGTCTTCAGACCTCATTTTAACCTTAAAAAAAAAAAAAAAAAACATGGCCACCGTGCAATTTTTTTTTTCTTTCATTTTTTTGTTAAAAATACATTTTTAATGTTTATAACATGAAATTAAGTTTAAAAATTCAATTTATTTTAACGGCCCGCAGACGTTAAAAACAAACAGTCTTCTTATTGCAGACTGCAGACATTTGGTCCACCTCTTCTGCCGCAGAGGCTTGCAGATGTGGTCCGTAGACTGCAGATATTTTGACTTCAAAAAAACAAACAGCACCTAAACCAACATTCCCCTCTGTTATTCCTTTTCCTCCTCCTTCGATTGCTGCGAAGAACAACAAGAGGGCAGTCGCCAATTTCTTCTTCGTGTTTCCTTCTTCCTGACAAGCAATCAAACCCAAACACTTCAAAAACCCATCGATTTTATATTTAAACAATCCAAACCATACCTGTTGCTATTCCCGTACATTTTTTTTTCTGCTGAAGAAGAACCACCCGAACGCCCTAGTTGCTATAATCGATGACTGTCCTGCTGGCCATGGTTGCTTCTGTTCATCTTCTTCTATTCGGTCAGTCCAGAAATTGAAGACCCATTTTAACATCTTCCTTAGTTCTTCTACACAATCGGTCAAAGACGGAGGCGCTCCTTCTTCTTCACGATCGGTCGACGACCGGAGGCAAATTCTAGGCATCGGAGGCGTTCCATCTTCTTTCCGAGATGACGACCGCCATCAGGCCTCGCAGCCATCTCGTTTTCCTTCGCAACTCCTTCCAAGACTGAAGACGAGCAGCCCCGTTGCTTTGTCTCTTTCTTCTCGTCCGAGGAGACAGCCGCCTCGCTGCTTCGATCATTTTTCTTCTTCTTCTTCAGTCTAGTCGAACCCCGGAGGCCGCCACCGATTGCGAGTCGAGCGACGAACCATCGTGCTGCCTTCTGGTCGCCGATTTCCCCTTCGCGTCTATAATCAAATTCCTTCGTTATCTCCTTTGGGAACGATTCATATCCTCTACCCGATCAAAACAAAAGAGACGGGGGCTTATGAGCCCTAAAATTTAATCACAAAAAGAAACAAAAAATAAAATTAAATTCCTTCGTTATCTCCTTTAACCTTGCTTTTAGTTCCCTATAAAATTTAATCACAAAAAGAAACAAAAATAAAATTAACTTTAATAGATTAAATTATAAATAATATTATCGTTCCAAAACTTTAGGTATATGATACTTTAAAAAGGATATAAAAGGGTAAAAATGGAAATAAAAATATCAAGAACCAAAAAGAAAATTATGAACACATCTGAGATTTCCACAATTCTTCAATTACCTAAACGGGTGATATCTAGCATACCTGCGTTCACACTGCAAGGCGCAAACCATTCTGGGGTGCCTGACTACCCGGTACGACCATTCTGGGGTGCCGACCTACCCATACGGCCATTCTGGGGTGTCGTCCTACCCGTGTCAAGCCATTCTGGGGTGTTGACTACCCATGTCAAGCCATTCTGGGGTGCTGACTACCCATCGGTCCTAACAACCGATCCTCAGGGACTGGTCCCCTCCTGCTACCTCTATCGCATAACATAACAGGCCAACATACAAACATATCATCACATACTGTCAGACGTTTCTGGGGTATCTGACTACCCTGCGGTCCTAACAACCGAACTCTACTACTATCGCATATAACGTATCATGATAGAATATAACATATTAGGTAATAGCAAACCTAGATGATATCACAAAGACAATCATCTATCATACGTCTCCTACTGGTGGGCCGGCATTGTGGCCTTAGACCCACCACTACTGGAAGGTAACTCACCTCAAAGTAGCTGCTGAACTGATCGGGAACTAACTGACCGCTGCTGCTCCGGAAATCCTCCGGCTGCAATTCCCACAACATACTCAATCAAACACTGTTAACTGTCCTTTGGGTAAAATGACCATTTTACCCATGGTCTAGGTCTAAGTCAAAGTCAGAGTCAACTTTCAATTGACCCGACTCGCCGAGTTGGCTCTCCAACTCGTCGAGTCCCTATCAGACGATTGTCCTGAGTCCCTGTTTCTACTCTTCGAGTTAGGCTATGACTCGACGAAATTCATCTTCTAGACTGACGTTCAACCTCTTCATCCTACTCGCCGAGTTGTATGAACAACTCGTCGAGTTCATCTTCATCCGAAGAACACTTATGCTAAGACTCGCCGAGTTGAATGAACAACTCGCCGAGTTTTGTTCTTGATCTATGAAGATTGCCTTGGACTCGACGAGTCAGGGCATTGACTCTCCGAGTCCTATCATAGATGAGTTCAGCTTCCAACTCACCGAGTCACCCCCTGTGACTCACGGCTCAACTCGATACTTCATAAAGGGACCAATTCAGTGACTCGCGACCAGACTCGTCGAGTCACATATACGACTCGCCGAGTCGCAGCCATGCATCCATCAAATACACCGATTTGCTCGATTCCAGTCCATGCCATTCACAGATATGGGCTTCTAGGGCACAAATCACACGTAAAGTTTCCAACTTTACGTGTAGATATTCACCAATATGGATTTTAAGGCTCAAAGTGCACCAAAAGAGGTAGATTTTAGGGCTTTCATGCAATATGACCCCATAAAGGCATTAGATCCAAGCTCCAGTTGACTAAATCATGCCTAGATCTAAAGGCTAACAACTTATTACAACCCACAAAGCACAAACAAGCTTGGGGAAGAGCCCAAGAAGGACTCCCATGAAGCTAAAAGAGATTACAAGCTTGAAAACAGAGGGGAAACGAGCTATACCTCAAGGAAAACGTTGAGATAACACAAAGATGCCTGGTCTCCTTCTCCTCTTCTTGATATACTCTTCTTTCTCTTCAAAATCTTCAAGAACACTCCAAAACACTTCAATCTCTCAAGGAAATAAGGGTAGAAACGATGTTGGGAGTTCTGGGGGTGAATGGGGATGAGTTTGGGGCGGAATGAGGGTTTAAATAGGGTGCAAACCCTTGAAATTTAGGGTTTCATCCAGTAGCGGTGACTCGCCGAGTCCGGGATATGGACTCGCCGAGTCGCCAACTTAAACGTGTCCTGAGTCTTGTCCGTACTCGGCGAGTCGGACCTATGACTCGCCGAGTCCAAGGCTAAAATAGGGAAATATTCAAATAAAATTCACATACCGGAAACCAAGTGCTACAAATCTCCCCCACTTATTTTAGACTTTGTCCTCGAAGTCTGCTGCTCGATCCTGAAACAGCTCGGGGTAGTGCTCCATCATCTCGTCCATCGGCTCCCAAGTCTATTCCGAACCCTTGCGGTGCTGCCATTGCACCTTCACTAGTTCTACCCTCTTGTTCCTCAAAGCCTTTGACTTCCTGTCGAGTATTGCGACTGGGCGCTCAATGTAATTCAAGCTGTCATCAACCTGAATATCCTCCAACGGTACTACCGCTGAATCGTCCACCAGGCACTTCTGTAGCTACGAAACATGGAAAGTGTGGTGGATCTGACTGAGCTCGGCTGGTAGATCCAGCCTATACGCCACCTTGCCCACCCGGGCTACAACCCTGAACGGCCCGATGAATCTTGGGCCCAACTTGCCCCGCTTCCTGAATCGAATGATGCCTTTCCAAGGCGACACTTTCAGGAGAACCATATCCCCGAGTTGGAACTCCAAGTCGGATCGACGCTTATCGGCGTAACTTTTCTGCCGACTCTGAGCAGTCTGAAGTCTGCTCCGAACCTGCTGGATCCTCTCGGTCGTCTCTAGCACCACCTCGATGCTTCCCATGACTCTCTGGCCAACTTCACCCCAACATATCGGGGTTCTGCACCTCCGTCGTACAACATCTCGAACGGTGGTCGGTCAATACTCGCGTGATAGCTGTTGTTGTAGGAGAACTCAGCCAAGGGAAGATAGGTATCCCAGCTACCACCGAAATCCGGACACACACGCCCGCAACATGTCCTCCAAAGTCTGGATGGTCCGCTCACTCTGACCATCTGTCTGCGGGTGAAAGGCGGTGCTAAAATGCAATCGAGTGCCCAACTCGTCATGAAACTTCTTCCAAAATCTGGAAGTGAAACGTACATCCCTATCCGAGATCACCGATACCGGCACCCCGTGCCGCGCCACGATTTCCCTGATATAGATATCGGCCAACTTCTCGGCCGATATGCTCTCCTGAATCGGAATAAAGTGAGCACTCTTGGTCAGTCGGTCCATGATGACCCAAATCGAATCCACTCCACGCGCGGTTCTGGGAAGCTTTGTAATAAAGTCCATGGTGATATCTTCCCATTTCCACAGTGGAATGTCCAACGGCTGCATCTTACCATGCGGTCTCTGATGTTCGGCCTTGACCTTCCTGCAGGTCAAGCACCGCTCTACGTACCATGCCACATCCCGTTTTCATGCAGGGCCACCAATAGTTCAGACGAAGATCCCTATACATCTTCATCGCCCCAGGATGGATAGAGAATCGGGACTTGTGCGCCTCATCTATCAAAATCTGGCGGACGCCCCCGTGATACGGCACCCACACCCTATGGTGTAGTGTCAATAGACCCCGGCTATCATAATCAAAAGAGGATACCTGACCCACCACGCGCTCGCTCTTCCGATGCTCCTCCTTGATAGCCTCCTGTTGAGCCTCCCGAATTTGCTCCAATAGGGGAGTCACTACGGTCATCCTCAGGCATACGTCCCTGATCGGCGCCGCCTTGCGCTAAGCGCATCGGCCACCACGTTGGCCTTCCCCGGGTGGTAAAGGATCTCGCAATCATAATCCTTCACCACATCCAACCACCGACGCTGCCTCATGTTCAGATTCGGTTGGTCCATGAGATACCTCAGACTCTTGTGGTCAGTGTAGATGGTACAACGAACCCCGTAGAGGTAATGTCGCCAAATCTTGAGGGCGAAGACCACGACCCCCATCTCCAAATCGTGCGTCGGGTAGTTCGCCTCGTGGGGCTTGAGCTGCCTCGAAGCGTAGGCAATGACATGCCCCCTCTGCATCAGAACTGCGCCCAACCCCGAAATGGACGCATCACAATAAACCACAAAATCCTCTACGCCCTCAGGCAGGGCTAGGATCGGCGCCTCACACAATTTCTGTCTCAGCATCTCAAACGCAGCCTGCTGCTCGGGTCCCCACCGAAAGACCACGGCTTTCTTCGTCAGTCGTGTCAGGGGTACGGCTATCTTGGAGAAATCTTGGATAAATCTCCGATAGTAGCCCGCTAATCCTAGGAAACTCCGAATCTCAGATGGAGACTTCAGAACCTCCCATCTCATCACGGCCTCAACCTTGGCCGGATCGACCAGAATCCCGTTCTGGTTGACGAGGTGCCCAAGAAACTGCACCTCGCGCAGCCAGAACTCGCACTTGGAGAACTTGGCATACAAGCTCTCCCTCCTCAGGGTCTCCAACACCTCCCTCAGATGCTCCTCATGCTCCTCTGGGTCTTGGAATAAACCAGGATGTCATCGATAAAGACTATCACAGACCGATCCAGCATCGGTCTGCAAACGCGGTTCATGAGATCCATGAACGCGGCAGGAGCATTGGTGAGCCCAAACGGCATCACCACAAACTCATAGTGGCCATAACGTGTCCGAAACGCGGTCTTCTGCGTATCCTCCTCCCTGACCCTCATCTGATGATAACCCGAACGCAAGTCAATCTTGGAGAACCAAGATGCTCCTTGAAGCTGGTCAAAGAGGTCATCAATCCTCGGGAGTGGGTAACGGTTCTTCACCGTCACCTTATTCAACTCCCGGTAATCTATACACATCCGATGCGACCCATCCTTCTTCTTCACAAATAGAATCGGGGCTCCCCAAGGCGAACTGCTCGGACGAATAAATCCCTTGTCCAGCAGCTCCTGCAGCTACGTAGACAACTCCTGCATCTCGGGAGGAACCAACCGATATGGTGCTTTGGCTATCGGAGCCGCACCGGGAATAAGATCAATCCTGAACTCTACCTGTCGCTTCGGAGGTATCCCAGGTAGTTCCTCCGGGAAAACATCTGCAAAATCTCGAACCACCAGGACCTCGCTCACGGTCGCCTTACCCGCCTCCCGGGTATCCATCACATACGCGACATATCCCGCGCATCCCTGCTGAAGATAACGCCTAGCCCTCGCTGCTGAACATACAGTGGGTCCACACTGTGGCCGTTCGCCATGAATCACTAACTCTCCCCCGCTTGGGGTCCTGACTCGCACTAGCTGCTGCGCGCAATCTATCACTGCCCCATTAGGGCTCAACCAATCCATGCCAATAATCACCTTGTTCCCACGCAATGGAATGGGAACCAAGTCTACCAGGTAACGCTCCTCAAACAGTCGCAGAACGCAATCTCGAAACACCATCGATGCTTGC